TAGCCCTCAAAAAGGTGGTTGTCACGTTGTGTTGTGGTTTACAGATATGCTGCGATATCTGCGCCTGTTGATCGGTCTAGTGGTTTACAGCTAGGCTGCGATAGCGACAGCGAGATGCTAAATGGTCTTGTCACGGGTTGATAATCTTCTTTATATTCTTTCGCTCTTGAAAGTGTCGTTGCCACGTTGTGTTGTGGTTTACAACTAGGCTGCGATATCTGCACCTTTCGCCCCAACACGTCCGCTTTCAGCAAAGTCCCAATTAGTCGCCTTTTACACCATGCCTTTTAGGTGGCTGTGGATCTATTCGGCGAGTCACGGGTAATGTTAACAGTGGATCAAAAACTATTCCTGCCTACGGTGCTTCAATCCATCTAAAACAATCCATCCCCACGGCGCTTAGCTCAACGCCTCAACATTGCTATCCATCGAGCAATAACGGCAGAAGTGGAAACTGATGATGATGGCCTAAATGTTTTCACTACATAACCTCATGAGGCTTCGCAGTGAATAATTAAGCCCCTATTCTTTCTTTCTTCAGGACTGAGAGATAGTCAACGACTCACAACAGTTTACACAGAGCCTAAAGAATTTACTATTTTCTTCCCTGAGTTTAACAGGGCACAGTAAAAGATCCATACATACGAAGTGTCAATCCATTTAAATGTCTGTAAACCTTCTTTATACTTGTTTCTACTGTTACACAGTGGCATTGACCGTAACACACCTCTGTATAACGTGTGGACTCGTGTACACCGTGAAACATTTCTTTTAACCGCTTTCAGGCTCGTGACTTCCCCATCGGAAACACGTGAAAAACGATTGTGAACAAATATAATAAGGTTGTGGGTTCGCTTCCTGGAGTAGCTGACCTTGGCTCCCAGGTTGAACCAGCCTTGAATGGGTACCGGGGGCAGTCCGGGGAAAGTGGATGCGGCCGGCGTTATGCTGACCACATCACCCGTCTTGTGCCGATTGGTCTATAAAATATTGGTCTAGCCCTGTATACCCTTTACGCCTAAAAGCGTGGAAAAAGAGTCCAACTTACAGAACAAATATAATCATAATAATAATTCCCACTAAGATACCGGCGGCAGCCGACGTGGTAGAGCGACTAAACACACGCCTGCGAATCAGAAGGTCGAGGATTCAGGTCCTAATTGCGCCGGACTTACTTTTAGAAATAACCTGGTCTGCCTAGCCTTAATCGGGTACCAGGTAAGGTTATGGGAAGTAAAGACGGCCAGTGTGGTAATGAACACATCACCCAACAAGTGCCGATTTGTCTATAAAATACAGGTCTAGCCCTATATGCCAAAATACTCCTGAAGGCGTGGAAACTGAGTAAGTACAGGTCCCTCTTCCCCGCCTTTAGGCTTATAGGGCATATAGGGCTAGACCTATATTTCTATAGACCAATCGGCACAAGATAGGTGATGTAGTCAGCATCACACCGGTCGCCTTTACTTCCCGAAACTGCACCCGGTACCCACTCAAACCTGGGTCGACCTGGGAGTCAAGGTTCATTTTTAAAAATGTCCAGCTCTACCAGGGAGCCAACCCACGATCTTAAGATTCGCACTCGAGCGTCTAGCTGCTACGCCACGGCGACTCCCGACGGTGTGGAAAAGGGTCAAGGATACTTTAATTTACCTACTGCGATACTGTCGTTACTGTCTCTTTGGCCTCATCGGTCATCTTCGTACTCATACTTGATGAAAAAGAGTGGTCATCATCATCTTGATGGACAATACACAAATAAAGCTTTTATGGCGGTGTAAAACTATGGGTTTCAAGCCTGAAGATTAATGGCTGCATGGCTAATGTTTCTTCTTCGCACTGACTGGTTGTTGAATCCAGTGGAAAGTTATGGTTGTTAATCTACTTCTGGAATTTAGTCTTGTTCCTGAAATGGAGTTTTGAGTGTACATCCGTGTTACAAATCCTGCTGATTTGTATGCTGATTCATTGCCTCTCTGGCAGAAACACCCTGCCGTTGAAAGACCCTTATTAGTCGCCTCTTACGACATGCTTGTTAGGAAGGATGTTGGTCTTTTTCTTGGTTTCTTCACAGAAGAGGTCTCGAAACCTATACGGGGAGATACAGTAATCTTAAAACATCTTGTTTTATGTGTTTTTTAAATACTATGATCTTTTCTAGTTTCCCAACCTCTTTTTTCTTCTTCAGAAATCTAATTTCACATGTGGTTAATATTCTCTCAGTTTCTTTGGCTAATGTCACAGTCTGACACTCGTAACCTAGAATTCGAATTTAGATTACATTCATAACATGACTTTTTTTTTTTTTTTTTCGTTGTTGTTTAAATAGCAGCATGAAACAAGATTCAGGTAGCTGACAATCAATGTTATTGGATGTTGGATTTGTGTCTCTATGTTTCTGTCTAGTCTATCGACTTATGTAAAAATGCCTCGAGAGAATTATTTAAATTATCCTGTTTGTTTCAAACGTTGGTCTTTTAGGGTATACAATAGCTGGCTAATTTCGCCACAACCACAATCTAGACAGTTCTCAAACTCTTCCCCCACCCCCTGTTAAATGGCACCCCTTGATTATATGGCAAGACTCCTACTCCACCGCTTCTCCCCCCCCCCCCACCCCACCCTCCCCTTTTTTCTAACATATAATCTGCACATCATACCTTTATCTTAACTGACAATTTAAAAAAATAATAATAGCAGAAGGCATGCTACCAGGAAAGAAGGACAGGGGCCGACCAGCACAAAGATGGGTACTCTATATAAGAGACACCTTGGGTTGGAAAGTGCACGTGGCGGGAGAGTTGGCGAGAGACCGAGTTTTATTTCAGATATACTGCACTGCGAGCGACGTTCTGCAGAGGAGTTGCCAACCGATGATTATGACACAATGATTGTGGCGCCATAATCAGACAAATTAGCAAAAAATAATTGTGTGCCGCAAATATCTTATCAATGTGCCCTTCATGACGTCTATATTTTATCCTAGGACAATTTCCACACGATTTTTTTGTCAGGCCTTCCATATCAACAGAAAAGCAGTTTAGAAAGATCTTATGGGCTTTTGTCGTTCGCCCGCCTGCCTAAAATCCCTTAAGCATAAACGTGATACCAGCTTTACCTTTCGAAACCTTCTATTTTCGGATTGAACATTATTATAGGGGAAATCTGTGTTTTTTATTGGATTTTCAAACGGGAAAATTAATTATATTTGGAACTATGCTTTTCACAAAGTGAATTTAAATAATGCTGTCACGAACAATACATTGTAAAATTTATTGCAAGGTATATTTTACTGCATCTGATTGGGTGCGGTACTACAGTTACATTAATACATTCTTGTTTCTTGCTCCAATTAACCATTAAAACAATTTAGTAAACTCCACTTTTTTTTTTTTTTCTTTGGGTCTCTCGCGATCCAAGGGTTTCTAATCGCCGGAAGTTCCCCTAGCCACGTGACTTTCCATGGTAACTTCAAACTGACAGTTTACTCCTTCTGTTTACATAAAAAGGATTACGTATTTTATTAATTAAAGCTTCGACCAGTCTGAGCATTCGCCTATTAGGTGCATGGTATATCACACGGAAAGCACTTTCCTTTTACGTGTCCGGATTCAAGCAAAAGACGCCCTATAGAAGATTTGGGTTCTTCTTCTGGGTTGGTTTTGAAACCCTTATGGGTTCTTTCAGCTGTACACATAGCCATTTTAGTATATGTTCTGCCATTCTGTTTTTAGGTTTTCTTGCCAATGTAAGTCAACTGTAAGACACAGAGGCTTAAAAATTATGCCCGCCTGTCTTGTACGTGGAGAAAGTAGTAAAGGCAGACCAAGAGAGATGATGCTGGATGGGCTGAAACGATGAAATGGAGGGATGTCATCAACAGAGCTGTTCCAGGCAACCAGGGATCGTGATCTGTGGATATGTATAAGCGCCTACTCTGTTGGCAGGGTACATGATGACGTTTTCTTGTACAGACTTAATCCTCTTCAACTTGCTAACAGTCTGCTTTTGGCAAAAAATTATACAGTTATTGAATGCTCTAAAAACCAACGATTGAAACAAGTCAAATGTAAATTGATAAAGTTAATTGCGGGTCATTTACAGGACGTTGCAGAATCATTCCCAGCCATTTGTAGCTGTTGTTTTTCTATGCAAATTTACGTCCATTAGTTTGTCCTTGCTTTCTAGACAAATAAATTGATACATACACCAAATTCACTTGTACTTCAAATTTCCTGCAGAAATGCGTGTGTTGATGATCTTCCCTGCTACGAGAAGTCACTTGTACACATTCCGTGCGTGTGTGTGTGTGTATATATATATATATATATAGTCGGCGTCTGTGGCTTAGGCGTTCTTACCGGAGACCCCGCCCTCTCATCCCAGCCGACCCAGGCAAAAATGGCGGCCAACCAGCCGACATGTTGATCCACCACCAGACTACTCCCACCCTCTCCAGATTCAGGTTGCCCCAGGCACTTCCTAATTGTCCTTTTCAGGACTTTTATAATTCCCCTCCTAAACAGCCAGTGCAGCAGAAATTCACTAACGAGGAATGGTGAGGCGTACCAACACGCCTCAACAAGAAAGCCAATTAAAAACCGCACATAAACAACGGACTCAATTAAAAATAAGTCCCCGTGAATTATGTTTTTTTCTACATCAAGTCAAGTCAAGCTTAGGCGTTGCAAACGCGCTTTGTAATGCCGGGGTGCCGGGTTCGATCCTAGCTGCGGGCCCTGCGCCTTGCATTGGTTTCGACAGGGGCATCGAGAAGCCGACCGTCCAGTAAGCAATGGCAAACTACTTTAATGTAAATTTGCCTAGGAAAACCATAACAGCCACAAAATTCTAGGGTTGGTTCTGCAACATCTTGCAAAGGATATACAACTAACTAACTATGTATGTATATATATATATATATTGTGACAACATACATCATTAATGGACTATAATAACGATGTTTTGTTCTGCCAACAGATCCCAAATATTAAAGAACCATGAGTTATTCATTCACGCCCATCACGATGCTGCTATTGGCCACCGTTTTTTGTCTGATGACCAGTGTGCTGACGTCACAAGTACCGCCCGTTATTCCGTTGAGCCAGATGGACCCGGAGCATGCCTGTCTCTTTATTTGTAATATTTGTTTTCCTAATGAGGTCAGTAGGTGAAGAAATGTGTGATTATTCTAGCTGTTGTGTTGTTGTATTATGGTTTGTTGTCCTGGAGCAATGATATCAAGTTTGTTGACAATGGATACGTTACAGGGCCGATTCAGACATTGTGACGATAGGACTTTGCAGAGTCAGCATAAGCATTGTTCTGCTGTTTTATTTTACTAAGCAATTTAACGTTTGGTAGTAGTAATAATTTCTCCAGGTCATGCCAGTGTGTTGGGAAATGAGCAGGCAGATATGGCCGGCTCTGCGCCACTTGGTGGTGAACTGGTGTATGACTAACTAGATAATGTGAGGGCCTTTTTGGAACGAGTGAACAATGTGGAGGCGCAGACAGATCAATACAGTCTGAGGAGAATGGCGCTGTGAGGAGTTACCAGGGGATCTGGCAGACGTTCAACACTCAGGAAAAATGATGAGATGGATATACAATCAGACGGTTACTGGCGCTTTCATAATTGGAACTCTCCTCTTCCTGCTCAAGATGGAGACCGAGCACTTATGGGAGTTTTTCGAGTGCTGTGATGTCGATTCCTAATTCAACATTGAACATTCAACGTTTAGTAGTATTTTCTCATTTCTGCTCATCCGTCGGCCTAAGATTTTATCACTTAATTTTTATTTCAGACAGCACTGAGGCCAAAAGTTCCTAGACTTGTTATGGTTACACCCCGCCACCTTTAAAATTTAGAAACAAATCCTCAGCGCCCCTTCTGTCCAAATATATCATTATTATCGGTAGGTAGGTGATTTGCTGGGGGGGGGGGGGGGGGGGGGGGGGGGGGGGGGGGGGGGGGGGGGACCTTAATGTTAATTCAGCATCCCCGAATGGGGAGCTTAAGGTTATAACTGTGACTAGGTTATGTGCGCCAAATAAAATGGCTTAACACTGCATGCCACCAAGAGCCATGAAAAAGATTCCGGCAGCGTTGATGCGATCAAAGGAGACAGACCTAAATACTGTCCCGGCAGGCGACGAAATTGTTTACCGGTGAGCCAGTCAGTGACCACGTCACCGATGATGGTTGCTGTCATCATCTGCCGAGTCGATAAGCAGAAGTTGCTACAACTGGATATCATACTCAATCAGTAGTGACACGAAATAGGTCACTGCGTTTGTCCCACCTCTTTGTCTTCCCCCTACCGCCGTTCTATCAGTTTTGCGGTTTGTCTATAAATTCTTGAGTCTCTTCATTTCCTTAACTACACCTTCTGTGATCGAATACACACAAAGATGTAGTGACACATTTGCTTGTCATTGTCTTTTCTGAAAGCCAAGCAAGTGAAACAAACTAGGATGTTCTCGGCTCAGTAGCACGTACTCTGCTCTAGGCTGGCTTCAAGGGCCAAGAATGGGTTGTTTAACTAAGAGCACCAAGAAGGGTCAGGCTTATCTTTATCTATATGTAGGGTAATGCGGGTGTTCAAGGCTATGAACGTGGAGATTATCTTAGGGACAATGAGACTATCATGGTTGCTCTTATCATGAGCGAAATCATCAATGTCATGCGAGAAGCATATCGCAAAAACCTAGACATTTCCAAAGCCCAGGAAATGTGGCTGTTCTACAACCGTCACCTGGATCGTCCCGGTGTTGGAATGGGGAGTGGAGATTGATTTAAACCACCGACATGGCATGGAAAATGAATTCACAAGTACTTGTCAGCAGTGATATGTCTATGAGGTGCCAATCAATCCATGCTTTTCCCTCTACCCCTCACGTTATATCGTTTTTTTTTTTTTTTGCTCTTTTATTCTGTTCAAAATATTGGTAGTACTTTTTCTAGCACTTAATTTTAAAATGCTGTCTTTTTCTTTTCAAAGCGAATCTTTGGACCCATCAAATGTGCAAACAGCGGTGAATGGAGAGGGAGAAGCAACAACAAAATTCATAATCTGTTTATATCACCACTGATCACTGGCATCATAATAGCTAATTTACTGAAATGGTTGGGACATGTTGAAAGAATGTCAGATGACAGAGAAGTAAATAACTGTATACACAAGGAAGATGAATGGTCGTAGACCACGAGGGAGACCAAGAAAACGATGGAGAGATAATATCCAGACAGACCTGCAGACACTTGGTGTTACCAACTGGAAAGAGAAGGCTAACCAGAAGATGAATGGAGGCGGGTGATATCTGCATCAATGAACCTCAAGGGATCGGAATGCTGAAGAAGAAGAAGCAGCAAAAGATCCCCATCCGGAGAGATTACAGAAAAAAAAGAAAGAAAACATAAACATTTGCTAAATGGTGCTCTTAGTAAGACTTACGTAAGACAAGTGAAAATTGTGTATTTGGAAAAACAAACGAAAGTAATCACGACAGTATGTTCAAAACAAAATGAGGAAATTTGCTAGTGGTCACGAGAAAGGGGATAAATCATGCAAACCCCGAGATAAACCCAGTTAGCGGACTTTGATCCCACCTTTTCAAGATCAGGAAATTAGGTATACTTAAATGTAATCTTGACTGGCAAATGGGGTTTAAGTGCTTCCCCCACCTTCAGGAGGACGTCTGCTGTGAGGATGGCCTCATTAATGAGAAAAACTAATTATAAAGACCGAATCTATTTGCGAACGAGGCTAGAGCACTATGGCCAAAATAACATTGAAATCACTTTGACTAAGGCATTAAAAGTAAACAGAATCCTTCTTATACTTAGCGTTCGCTGGATTTTTAAATTCCTGCGGAAAGTTCTGGTTGTTTGTTCACTTCAGGTCTTGTCCCCAGCCGATTCCACGCACGACTTGACAATTTGTCAAGCCTACAAAGGCTAACATCAGAACGAGACAATCTATGTTCTTTGGTCATGTGATGAGAAGAAGAAAACTGGAGGAGGGCCTACAGTAGGAAAGTCGGAGGGAAGGAGAGGCAGAGGTCGACGAATGAAACGATGCTGGACAGTTTGACATTATGGCATGGAGAATCATCTGTGTCAGAGATGACTGAAAGTACACGATACAGAAGGTTGTGGATCGCAATGACTATCAACGTCACACGGCATGGACTTTGAGAAGAAGAGAGGGAGGGGGAGGGGAGGGGGAGGGGAGGGAGAGCTAAGAAGCGTTCTACCAATGTTTCCTTTTTGTCGATTTGCCTTTTAAAGATACGCTGTAAATAAATACACAACACTTTGATTGGTAAACAGAATGTATCCAGTTACACACAATGCGCTGATTGGGACACCAGTAGTTAAACTATGTGATATTAGCCTTTTATTTAATAAAACAGCAAAATGTGTGGGTCTTTACATTAATTAGAGGCGTTATAAAAACAAAATTTGCCCCCTGGCCTTTCTGACTGGGTCAAATACGAAACTAAATGTGAACTCCAGTTTCCATTAAAATGAGCATAAAAATCCTGAATTCATATTGACAGAATTGGAAAACTCTGACAACCTTCACAAAACGCTGAGAGCTAACGACGGCAATGTTCTGAGGAAATAATCTGAGAAGAAATTTTAATCTGCAAGAGAACGACACTGCTGCTCCATATCTGATATTTTATTAAAACACCAGTAGCAGCCTGCAGAAAAACCTTCTACAGAGGTTATGAATCTGTTCAGATTTGGGTGTCGAGAGAGATATAGACGTCTTGGTTCTCTCGCTCTTCTATAGCGAGTTTCAAAAGGCATGCCTTTACACTCTAAAATATCGTGAAAACTGATCAACACGAATTTGTGCTTTCAGCCTTACATTTCCCAATTTCTTGTGATTTTATATTTTACGATTGCACAGGTGCTGCTGTTCTCTTATTGCGGCGAATGTCTTTGATCTTTGTTTAAGTAATAATGTGTATTATTTATATTTCCCCAAAAATAGACTATACAGTAACTGACATGGGCCTGGAGATTACTTGCAAATCATTTCACCTCTGCGGTGATGCGTGGTGATTCTTTTGATAGCATTTACAGGATATAATAAAAAATCCATAACTCACAGATGACTAATGCTGAAGATGACCACCTGAGAGTGAAACGCCTACTAAACGCGTTCAATTTACTGTGTATATATATATATATATATATATATATATATATATATATATATATATATATATATATATATATATATATATATATATATAAGGGCTGTACCGAATATTCGCTTCGTATTCGCTTCTGGGCCGATTAGTAGACCTAATAACTTTTCGGTATTCGGCCGAATACTTGCGGTCGGGCCGAGTACGAATAGTGGCTACCTTACACCCGTTTCTGCATACACTGCGATGGACTGAAATTACTCTTTCTTTAACACAATAGTTGCTGTTGCCTAAAACTGTCGCAGAGGGAGCAACTGCGAAGCGGTTGCGTGGTAAACAGCATCCAGTTTTAACATATGGCTGTGAGTCCTGGACAATCGGTAGGCAGGCCAAACAATTTCTTAAGGCCTCAGATATGTGATTTTACAGAAGAATGCTTAAAATACCTTAGACAGCCACACACAAAAATGCAACCAAGAGGTTTTGAAAGAGGCGGGAGCCCGAAGACAACTAATCACAGACATCGGAAGAAGACAGTCATTATTTTTCGGCCATGTTATGAGAAGAGGGAAAATGGAACATATCGTGACAACTGGAAAGATCTGTGAAAGGAGAGACAGAGGAAAACAACGAGAGAAGATTCTTGACAGTCTTGCTGCATGGTATGGAGGTGTATCAGCACACGAACTAATACATGCTGCAAGAGATCGCAGATTGTGGCAAGGCCCACGCCAGTCGGCAAGGCACCTGATGATGATGATGTACTATTCGTATTCGTATACGAATTGTGTGATCAACGATTCGGCCGAATAGTGAAAATCCCTATTCGGTACAGCCCTAAAATATATATATATATATATATATATATATATATATATATATATATATATATATATATATATATATATATATATATATATATATATATATATATATAAAAACCGCAAAATAGGCAAAAAGAAAACTAGGTGTTTGATTAGACTAACACTATTTCTTGCAACGACATGATTAGGTGCTTTATTAATATCCTACCCTAGATGACGTCACAGGTCCGTGTAACATTTTAGAGGGTAGTAAGACTGGGTTTCCCGGCTTAACAACCTTAAAACATCAAGAACAGGCCCTAACCCACCTACGTCCCACGAGAAAGTGCAGCCTATGTCCCACGATTACATGCAGCCTAGGTCCCACGACTGCATACAGTCTAACTACCACCCCCCACCCCCCCCCCCCCCCTTGAAATATTAATCTATCCCTTGACCTGTGGATTTCCCCTATATGGGGTAAAATGTTAATAAAGCACCCATGATTATAACAGACTGCATGCTAGATTTCAACAGCTTAACCAAACGAGTACTATGTTAGAAACTTCTGGAGCGGAGTATAGCCGTCCCGACTGCAGATACTTGTTACTGTTGTAATATGTCTCTAATGGGAATCTTGTAGTTATGGGATATATTTCTTTGTCTAAAGCTCCGAGGAAGCTGCCGTGGTGTAGTGGATAAACGCTGTCCTCGGTCCCGAAGATCGTGGGTTCAAATCCTCATCGAGCGAGATTTTTAAAGCAAATAAGCTTGGTTCCCAGGTCGACCCAGCCTAAAATTAGTACCAGGTAAAGCCCTGGGAAGTAAAGGTGGCCGATTTTTCAGCCGTATGTTAAAACTGGCTCTATAAAGCATGCGATAATTCTTTTCTCGAATTTTATCCTATATATATATATATTCTCGTATAGACCGATTGGTCTATACGCCATATATTCCCAATACGCCGGAAGGCGCGGGAAAAGGTCGTTTACTTCTACTCTGTATATCCTATGATACTGTTTAAGCAAATATATGCGAAAGGAAACTGAAAAACCATGTGTTTTTTTTTTTTTCAGGAAGACGTCGGGAACCTCATGACCTGCAGCAACACAGTCTGCCAAAGTTCTAGAACCTGTGAAATGGAGAAGTTCATCTGGCTGGGGCATCACTGTAGACACTACGGCATGGCAGAAAGTATGTGGAGCCACTAAACATCACTCGCAGCAGAAACTTTATCCCTGTCTTCGTGGATGCTGTTAGAGTGACAGGTTTCTATCTTTCGCTATATTTCGAATGCTCTGTAACAGACCTTTTCTGTTTTCCAGTGTAGCAGTTTTTAATACTTTTTGTTGTATCCTTCAAACAGTTTAGAATTACAGTTTGTTAACACTTTACAATTATAATACATCTTTTTCAAACATTCCCTGGTCTCGTCAAACCACCGTGCAGTTTTTAAAAAAATTTTATTTTACGACTTGTTTACTAGTAACCTCAAAATTATCCTATCTTAAGCCAAAAAAAAAATATTAATTATCTCCGGTTTATTGTTAATCTCGATATAATAAAGATTATAGTTACTTTTGCTTTTTTAATTTTTATTTTTTTTATTTTTAGGCTGTACATACAAATTTAATAAATCTATGGCAAAATGTTAAACTAAATATTTTCAGTTAACATTAAGTCTTGGGGAGAACTAGTGGTTCTAGACGTTTACTACTTACGAATACAAATTAAAAAGGTATCATTCTGGCTTTGGCGTTGTGTTTTTGTATGTTTAGTTGTTAGTCGACAATCGAGGTTCCAGCTTCGCTGTAGAGGGGTCATCCCCTAACTGCTCTGTTGCTGTGGTAGTGGAAATCACACAAAATGTCCTTCACTGTCCAGTTTGAAAACTAGTGAGAAACATACTAACCCGATCAAAAACTTGAAGGTCGTACATGCAAAGTAAGTGCATAAGGCAGCCGTCAGATGTGCTAGCGCTAAAAGTCTCTCACCCGAATTGCCTCCCACTGTTTATACAAGCAGTTATTTTGGTGCTTTGTTAATATCCTACCACAAGCAGGGGAAATCCACAGGTGACGGGACAGTCTATTATTTCAGGGGGTGGTAGATAGGCTGCAAGCAGTTGTGGGACCTAGGCTGCATGCATTCGTTGGACCTAAGCTGCACTCTCCTAAGCCTAAGGGCCGAATGTCAGAAGGGCCTGCGTGCCCAATTTGTAACCCTTTGAAAATAAAGTTTCTTTGTTCGTTCATTCTCTCCTGGGACGTAGGTGGGTTGGGGTTAGGGCCAGTTCTAGATGTTCTTGGGTCGTTAAAAGTATCAGAAAGCCGGGAAACCTAGTCTTACCACCCTCTAAAATGTTGGACTGTCCTGTAACGTCATCTGGTGGTAGGATAATGTTAAAGAACTGTTATTTAAAAAAAACAAAAAACTAAACGTACTCAGCTAGCCTTATCACGGCAAAACGTCGCTGGTTTGGGTGTATTTAAGAGGATTGGCGACATATTTTACTACTGTTGTCACGGGTTCGAATCCGCACGGTGTCGACCCTCCCCACGGAAAGCAAAAGTAAACACGGGGCCCTTTAAACCTCAGTAGTCCATCGGGTGTATGATATTAGAAGTCTTTTTAATAGCCCAATCGGCATTCGACGGGTGATGCTGTCGTCATCACACCGGCCGCCTAAACTTCCCAGAACATTACCCAGTACCACCGTTAGACTGGGTAGACCTGGCAGCCAACGACGATTTTGACAGACAAAAATGATTTTGTCGGGTCAACAGGCGAGCTTTAAGTAACGAAGCTGCTACTGACGGCTTTGTCGTTTAATATTGCAACCAGAAAATATAGTGGGAAATAAAGAGCACCAGTGTGTTTTGAACTTATCACCTATCAATAAAGAGCACCAGTGTGTTTTGAACTTGTCACCCATCAATAAAGAGCACCAGTGTGTTTTGAACTTGTCACCCATCAATAAAGAGCACCAGTGTGTTTTGAACTTGTCACCCATCAATAAAGAGCACCAGTGTGTTTTGAACTTGTCACCCATCAATAAAGAGCACCAGTGTGTTTTGAACTTATCACCCTTCAATAAAGAGCACCAGTGTGTTTTAAACTTGTCATCCATCAATAAAGAGCACGAGTGTGTTTTGAACTTGTCACCCATCAATAAAGAGCACCAGTGTGTTTTGAACTTATCACCCATCAATAAAGAGCACCAGTGTGTTTTAAACTTATCACCTATCAATAAAGAGCACCAGTGTGTTTTGAACTTGTCACCCATCAATAAAGAGCACCAGTGTGTTTTGAACTTGTCACCCATCAATAAAGAGCACCAGTGTGTTTTAAACTTGTCATCCATCAATAAAGAGCACCAGTGTGTTTTGAACTTGTCACCTATCAATAAAGAGCACCAGTGTATTTTAAACTTGTCACCCATCAATAAAGAGCACCAGTGTATTTTGAACTTGTCACCCATCAATAAAGAGCACCAGTGTGTTTTGAACTTGTCACCTATCAATAAAGAGCACCAGTGTATTTTAAACTTGTCACCCATCAATAAAGAGCACCAGTGTGTTTTAAACTTGTCATCCATCAATAAAGAGCACCAGTGTGTTTTGAACTTGTCACCCATCAATAAAGAGCACCAGTGTGTTTTAAACTTGTCACCTATCAATAAAGAGCACCAGTGTATTTTAAACTTGTCACCCATCAATAAAGAGCACCAGTGTGTTTTAAACTTGTCACCCATCAATAAAGAGCACCAGTGTGCCCATCCAAGAAGAGCACTAGTGTGTTTTAAACTTGTCATCCATCAATAAAGAGCACCAGTATGTTTTGAACTTATCACCCATCCATGAAGAGCACCAGTGTGTTTTGAACCTGTCACCCTTTAATAAAGAGCACCAGTGTGTTTTGAACTTGTCACCCATCCATGAAGAGCACCAGTGTGTTTTGAACCTGTCACCCTTTAATAAAGAGCACCAGTGTGTTTTGAACTTATCACCCATCCATGAAGAGCACCAGTGTGTTTTGAACTTGTCACCCATCCATGAAGAGCACCAGTGTGTTTTGAACTTATCACCCATCAATAAAGAGAACAAGTGTATTTGAACTTTTTAACCATCAATAAAGAACTGCAGTGTGTTTAAACAAGCATGTCGTAGCATGTTCTCAACAAGCATATCGGAGGAGTCGACTAATTGGGAGCTTCCTTTAAAGTTGGAGTACATCTGCCTGAGAGGCAAGGAAGTTGCAGTTTGCATACAGTTAAGTAAGACTAAGAAACTAATATTCATTATTTGTATTTGTATGAAATAGACGACTTAAATGGTATGGCAAAAACCACTGATGGCATCTCGTTGAGAGAATGAAACAAATTCGTTAGCTTTCTTGTGTGGGTTTAACTTGACCAATTTTAGAAGAACAAAAAACAAAAACAAAAATAATAACAGAGTTACTGCCCCCTAACAACCATGTAGTAAAACGCGACTAACTGGGGAATTTTCTTTCGAAGTCAGAGTGCGTCTGACCGAGAGATGAGGAACCAACATACTGAATATAAATAATACAGATCTGTAAAACTGATGTGCACATAAAATTGAAAGTCTAGGACAAGACGAATGTCCATATGTGAACAAACAACCAGAATTTCCCAGCTGAGTTTACAGCCGTTGAGCTCTGAGAAGGAGGTCTAGTTAACCAATAATTTAGGTTAGTTGCGTATCCTTTACAGGAAGTTGCAGAACCATTCCAACAGCCCCTTGCTGTTGTGTGGTTTTTCTAGGCAAATTTTACGTCCAGTAGTTTGCCATTGCTTCTGGACGGTCGGCATTCTTGATACCACTGTCGAAACCAACACAAGGTGCATGGCCCGCAGCTGGGATCGAACCCGGCATCCCGGCATTACGAAGCGTTCGCACCGACTTAGCCACAGAACCGACTTAACCAATGATACAAACAACAAAAATAATGACACGCACATTATTTACATATAAAAACACTCAAGACATCAACATCGTATCATAAATATCGTTTTTTTTTCCCTTAGTACTATGTCTTGCATTGTTATTTCCTTACTGTAGCTGGATAGTCATTCTCTTGGATGTTCTCATATTTACTATCAAATACTTTTTAGCATGAAAAATAGGTTAATGCACCGAAATTTTTGTGAAGCAGCATCTTTTACAACTATATGCTTAGATATCTAATAAAGAGTGAGAAGCAACATCGAAATCCATACTCTTTCTGTGACCCCTAATTAATAGTATCATGTCGGCAAATAAACTCCAGTGGTTGGAGCTTATAGAGATAAAGGCAGATAACAACAAGACAAAACTGGCGAACACGAGAGTTGAAAGGGGTACCGAGATAACGGTGGATATTATAGCGACAGACTTATAAAAACTTAAAGAAACCAAGGTCAATGAAAAGATGAGCAGACCAGGAGGAGATTTGCTGAATGACCCTAAAGGCTCGGAATGTTGAAGAAGAAGAAGAAAAAAGTCTTACCCAACTACAGCACCGTCGGGTATTTGCAAGTGCAGTTCTTTGAAATAAGTATGGCAGTCGTTAGGCGCAGCATCCTCGGGGTCGTTGCCTCCAAAGAAAGTCGTGAAGAAGATGCCCCGGTTGTGATAATTCGCCTCATTGCGCATGCGCAGGTTGCTAGCCGTGTAGCATTGCTGGTCTTGACCGTGAACTTGGTTGCAGATCTTCACCCAGCCATCTGTGTGTCCGATTGTGTTAAGATGAACTTGCTCGGTAACTGTCTGCCAGACCCCATTCTAGATAGTGAGAGAATTGAACAGAAAACGGAATTATTGTGTAGATGTAGTAAGTTTATAACAACAGACAGAAAATATACTAAATTTATCAAATGTAAAATTTGGGCGGCAGGAGAACAGTGGCTAGGTACTCGCCTACCGGTGAGAAGGTCTAAGATTTAAATCCCCGTCTAATCGGAGTATGTTATTTGAATGCACTGCAATTTGTTTGGTCCTCTACATAAGATCTGAGTTTCCCCGTGTAGGTTATAGGGCCTCATTTGGGGACTGTGAATGTTGGGAAAAGAGGGTTGGGCCCGCAGAACAGACACACTCGTTATCTCCCATGTCGAAAAACAAAAAGCGGCAACTCAGAGTGGTGGGCCCGCAGAACAGACACACTCATTATCTCCCATGTCGAAAAACAAAAAGCGGCAAATCAGAGTAGTGGGCCCGCAGAACAGACACACTCATTATCTCCCATGTCGAAAAACAAAAAGCGGCAAATCAGAGTGGTGGGCCCGCAGAACAGACACACTCATTATCTCCCATGTCGAAAAACAAAAAGCGGCAAATCAGAGTGGTGGGCCCGCAGAACAGACACACTCATTATCTCCCATGTCGAAAAAAAAAAAACGCGGCAAATCAGAGTGGTGGGCCCGCAGAACAGACACACTCATTATCTCCCATGTCGAAAAAAAAAAAACGCGGCAAATCAGAGTGGTGGGCCCGCAGAACAGACACACTCATTATCTCCCATGTCGAAAAAAAAAACGCGGCAAATCAGAGGTGTTTTCCTCGAAGTCGAAGTGCTTCTGCCAATGAGATAATGGACCAACGGTCTGTGTGTCGATTCTCCAGCCCTATATGCTCCCAATGTATCTTTAATGTCGGTTCCCGGAGGTCAACCTCTGCCTCGTTTTCAGGAAACTGCACCTCCATTACAGTTCTCTCCAGGCCAACATGACTTTTAACATAGAGTGAAAAACCCTCAGCTTTCGGGACAGGATGTTGTTTATTAGCCGATTCTCCTTCATGTTCATGCAGGTTGTCTGTATTTTTCGTATTCTTGATCCTATTTATTCTAAGAATTTTTCAGTTGCTTCCCTCTTTTTTTTTTTTTTTTCATTTTTTTTCCTGCTTTCTTGCATAGGCCCTCAACCAACTCATGCCAAATCGTTCTATCTTTTGCTATGGCGTGCAGCTCTCCCATGTCCTTCCTATGTTTCTAACTTCATTCCCAGCTCCCTTCTCCGTGTGTTTGTTGCCTTCCTTCATTCCTCTGCCCCTGTGGGTTCCAATGCAAAGACATTCTAGTGATATTATTCTCCGGTTTGTTCAATGTGTGGACTTTTCAACGCCCGCGTATTTTCTACACCTCTTCAGAACTCGCTTACAGGAGCTGTGCTGTAGGTTCCCCGAGCTGTTTAGCTTCTGCATTGCTAAAGCAAGTTTTACTTCTTTTATGAAGTCGCTTTTGATGTTCTCCCTAGTCTGAAGTTAGTTTCGTATCCTTTACAGGACGTTGCAGAACCAACCCAAGCACTTTTTGGCTGCTGTGGTTTTTCTTGGCAAGTTTACATCCATTAGTTTGCAGTAGCTTCCCTGAACGGTTGGTTTCTCGATATCACTGTCGAAACTCACGCAAGGCTATTAGTTTAGCATCTCAGTCGTCCCCATGTGGGATGCAATTTTGAAGCCCCACCCTGGTTTCTGCCGGGGGCCCTGAATATTGCCGATCCTTATATATGGCCTAACTGCTAAAAGGGGTTTCGCGGGACCTATCCAAGAGTGATCCTTATCCGCATGGTAGCACTTTGTGTCACCGGGTATTTATCGCGTGTGTGATGTCCTGGTCGGGTAAAACTTACCTTCCTATATACCTAAGGCGCAAGGCCCGCAGCAGAGATCGAACCCGGCACCCCGGCATTACGAAGCTCGTTCGCAACCACTAAGCTACAGACGTCAACTAGTTTACCTACCTGAAATTTGATTTTGCCTCTGCCAATAGAATGACCATAGTCCCAGTTGACAATGACATCTGGGCGGTTAGCGAACCCAGCAGCTTGGTTTGTAGGTATATAAGCGTAAAGCTCTCCGTCACCTCCTGCGCGCCACATGAGCCTAGAAACAGAAATCGATTTATTTAGTACTAAGCAACTCAGAATGCGTTTGCTGGGTTTTTAATCACAAGATGTGTAATTATTTTCTCTGTGTGCCACCTTTTCTTGTTGGTTTCTACTTGCAGAATAATATATACTTACTTTTTTTCTCCCCTTGCACCCCATCCAACTGTTGATTCAATTGGTAAGGTATACTTGTCATATCTTCTTGCACCCCCCCCCCCCCCCAGTTGTTAGTTTCGATTGGCAAAGTATACTTATCTTATATTCTTGCACTCCATCTAGTTACTGGTTTATATTGAGAAGCTATACTTGTCTTCTTGCAATCCACACAGTTACTGGTTTCGATTGACAAGCTATGCCTTTCTTCTTGCACCCTATCCAGTTACTGGGTTTTTTTTTATTTTTATTAGGTATATCTGTCTTGTCGGCTCTGTGGCTAAGTCGATGCGAACGCTTCGTAATACCGGGATGCCGCGTTCGATCCTAGCTGCGGGCCATGTGTCTTGCCTTGGTTTCGACAGTGGTATTAAGAAAGCCGACCGTCCAGGAGCAATGGCAAACTACTGGACGTAAATGTGCCTAGAAAAACCACACAACACCCAAGGGCTGTTGGGGTTGGTTCTGCAACGTCTTGTAAAGGATACGCAACTAACCGAATACCTTTCTTATCTTCGTGCACTCCATCTAGTTACTAGTTTCAGTCGTCTTATCTTCCTACATGCAATGCAGTTAAAGCTTTCTATTGACAAGGTACACTTGTCTGATTTTCTTGCACTCCGTTCAGTTGTTGCTTTCTATTGACAAGTTAGACCATTCTTATCTTTCCTGTACACCATCCATTTTTGAATTCACTTGCTACCATCATGTTGTTATTTTACAGCCTGAACATTTATTAGTTTTAAAACCTACTTCTTGAGAAAGAAAATGTAAATTAACATTTGCTTGAAACTAAAGGAGTTAATATGAGTTGGCAACTATGTGGCCTTATAACGTCGTGGTTTTTCAACCTACGTGTCACAGAGCCCTTGGGGAAGTTATTACCGATGCTCAGAGATTCCATGGGTAAACATCAACATGTTTTATTCTATTTCGAAGTAAAATCATGAAAATGGGTGTAGCTCAGTCGTGAGTCAGAAATCATGGAACACCCTCAATTAATGTCTGTCTGCATGGTTGGGTTAACATGGTGAGGACGTGCAGATAATACAGGTGCTTATTATCTATATAAATATATAGCTTATCTGAAAGTTTCATCTCAAAATTGCATCAATGAATGGATAATCGGGATCTCTGAATTATGTAGTTCAGCTTTGCTGTTTGAAGAAGCCTTATCTTCCTCCTCCTTCTTCTTCATATTCTTCTTCTTCTTCTTCTTCTTTTTAACTACTAAGAAACTCACAGTGGGTAGAGGGTCAGGGAGTTTCAAGGCTGTAGTGGCTAAGACTCTCGGGCAGTGGAGCACACCCCTTGTGAGTCTCTGGGTCTAGCCCTAGAATACTCAAATTGATTTCCAACTGTCAAAGGATTTTTTACGTGTACAAACATGCACACGGGCATCTGATCCCACTACCCAGAGACTAGGGGTAATTATGAGAAGCCCAAATCCACGTGAAAAATCCCAGCTTTTACTTGGGATTAAACCCGGAACCTCTACCACTCAAGGCAGAAATCATGCCTTGAGAACAAGCAGCCCCCTAGCATTATGAGACCTCACTGGGTAGCCAAAGCAGACCCACTTATATGGAAGTACAGCTTGAAGTGATAGTTTGTGTCATCAAAAGGCATATCCTTCAAAAGGAGACCCCCTTAACGAAGACCTTGCGGTCCTGAAACAAAACACAACGGATCTAGAGGAGACAACCTCGATTTAAAAAAAAAAAAGCCAAGCCTAAAATCAATCTACGAGCTGAGAGGCTGATTGGTGTGGGATAGTCAATCGTGAACTTGGACGTCTGGTCAGCGGGAGGGGCGGCGCCAGGCGTGTTACTCCATATGGACAACCATTGCCCTTCCCTAGCAGGCAAGCTCTACTAGGGCGACCGGCAACTTCCAGCGTCATAACAAATTTTGTCATATGGATTTTGCATTTTATAAGAATTGTCGCCGGAGCTACGGAGCACGTTCTCTGCGCTTGAAGTTATCTTCAGCGAGCAGCAAAGAGAGTGGATAGGGTTACTACACTCAGAAAAAAGCAAGACGGACACACAATCAGATTGTGACCGGTACCAACAGTATTGGAACTCAGCACTGGCTGCTGAAGATGAGGACGGAGCACGCATGGGAATGCCCCGAGTGCTGTGATGTCAATTCTTGTCGCTCTTCAACGCTCACAGCTGAAGAAATTGATGTCCTACTTGAAGTTCGACACAGCTATAATATACGCAGTCTCGCCGGCCGCTCACACTAACCAGTACATGACTGAGAATATCGAGCAAAACGCAACGTGACTCTCCTGTAACATAGACTAGCGCACGTGAAAGGTCACAAAGCATGAATGACCGGCCAACCACGGTGTGGTTTGGGCGGGAAAAGTTACTAGAACCTACAAATACACAGATGCTGCTGTTTTCATAAAGCTCCAATTTTCTTTGACCATTGTTTGAACTAATAATTTATGTATTCCTAAAAAACAAAAAAACAAAAGAATATACAGTAACTGAGACATTTGTGGGGATTATTTAGAAATCAGTTCTCTGTACAGCAGATGCATGGTGATTATTTTAACAGCCTACCCACCACTCAATGAAAAATCCGTAACACACTGGAGACTAATGCTGTAGATGACCACTTGAGAGTGACGCGCCTATGAAACGCGTGCAACTTTATGTTTTGAAAGGTTCCCCTTACCCAGTTTACTAAAAAGGGCGACAGACTGAAGAGGGGGAAATCGTGGCTAGGTCGGGCAGAAGATGTTTTTAGGCAAATATGCAGCCTAACCGACATCATACCTGGTGCAGAATGGATACCTGTGCCTCAAACGTTTATTTGTACATTTTCCTGTATTGTCACACTCAACAGGCGATGTAGAGAAGAGAATCCTGTTGCTGTTAATGCAGAGGTCAACGCTCTCATCGGTGAAAATTCAGACGAAGCAGATGCAATAATCTATACAGACGGATCCGTTATACGCCAAAGAAGAAGCGCATGGGCATTTACAGCACGCTCAGCGGGCAGAACAGTCAAAGAAGCCAACGGCGCCTTCTCCATGACAACCAGCAGCATGACGATGGAGGTGATGGCAGTGACACAAGCGCTTGCCTGGCTTGAAACACAAAAATACACCTGCGTGTGTATACTCAGTGATTCAATGAGTATGATCCGGAGGGTTCAGGCAGGTTCAGTGCGAAGACAATGGCTTGAATCATTACAGAAGTCCACTGTCCGTGGAGTCACCTTTATTTTTGTTCCGGGACACGCTGGCGTCGATGGAAATGAAAGAGCTGACAGGTTGGCTGGATCCGCTATCACTACCGACGGTCAGCCTGTGGATCATGCTGATATCAATGCCCTCAGAGAAATGGGAAGGATAGACGACTTTGGTGGCAGTGAATCCCGATCACTCGCCAGAATGGCAGACTTGGGAATTAAGATCGGCACAGCAAGAAACGAGACGCACACCAGCTACGCCAGAAGACTTGTTAATCAACATAGAACTGGTACTATTAGCCATCGGACGTTGGGGTTCATACTGAGGGGAGGATCTGAGCACCTATGGACATGTCCGGAGTGCAATGAGGATAACCCAACTAACTAACTAACTAACTAACTAACTAACTAACTAACAGTTTACTAAAGTTACTATAAACATGTTGAATATTTACTTTGAATGGGTATCTGTTTTTTTTTTTTTTTTTACTGCAAATTAGGCACACACACAAATTAAAACTAGATGTTCATTTACACAACAAAATCGTGCAATCACATGATTATTAACATATAGTATGTCAAATTTCAACAACTTTCTTCGAACGGTTTCTGAGTTACAGGTTTTTGAAGTTGGGCAGCATTTCTGCAATGGACCATAGTACTACTTAGTCAACTTTTTCTTCGTTTTTCCTTCTTCCTCATCCTTCTCTTCTTCTTCTTCTTCTTCCTCTTCTTCCTTCTCCTCATGTACTTCTTTTTTTTTTCTTTTTTTTTACTACTATACTACTACTACTACTACTACTACTACTATTACTCTGCTACTACTACTATTGTGCTACTAGTACTACATCTCTACTTTAAATCTACTACTACTCTACTATTACAACTACTACTACAACTACTACTCTACTACTATACTACTACTACTACTACTACTACTACTACTACTACTACTACTACTACTACTACTACTACTACTACTACTACTACTACTACTACTACTGTACTATTACTACTACCACTCTACTACTACTACTACTACTACTACTACTACTACTACTACTACTACTACTCAACTACCACTACTACTACTACTACTACTACTACTTTACTACTACTAATCTACTACTACTACTACTCCACTACAACTATACTACTACTACTACTACTACTACTGTACTTCTAGTTCTACTCTACTAATACTACTTCTACTCTACTACTACTACTACTACTACTACTACTGCAACTACTACTGCAACTACTACTGCTGCTGCTCTACAACTACTACTCTACTACTACTACTACTCTACTACTACTACTACTTATTATTATTATTATTATTTCTATTATTTTGTTGTTAATGTTGCTCTTCTTCTTCTCCTTCTTCTTTTCTTTCTTTTTCTTCTTCCTCTTCTTCTTTTTTTTGTCCTCTTCTTCTGCTTTTTCTTCTTCTTCACGGAAAGAATCTCATTGTCATCAGTTAGCCTTGCAAAGTTATTGTGTCAACAAGCAGATAAAAAGAAGCCGTAAGTGATCATGGGATGTGGATAAGTATGATTGCCCGCACCTGCTGTGACATAGGAAAAATACACCGACAGCTTATCATGGGCACACAAATAAGGGCATTTAAAAAATATATATATATTTCAGTATTTTTTTTAAAATCCAGTTACTAATAGCTGTCAGCATCACGATAAAGAAGGTATTGTCAGCTTTTTGTCATGGTACGGACAATTGTCAGCACCATAATGAAAACGGTATTGTCAGCTTTTTGTCATGGTTCGGACAACTGTTAGCACCATAATAAAATAGGTATTGACAGCTTTTTGTCATGCATGGTAAGGACAGTGGTCAGCACATAAACTGTTGAATGCTGGTGTATATTTACAGATGTAGAGGATCATTAAAGGTCACATTCTTCGGCAACGTATTTTATAAGGACGATGACGATACTAACGATGATAGTATTAATGATAATAATGATTATGAAGATGATAAACATAATGACGGTGGTGGTTGTGGTGGTAATAATGTTGAGAGAATGGCAGTGGTTATACAACACATCTTATTCAATTCTCTATGGGGGAAATTACAAAACAAATTTACCTCAAAGAGTAGCAGCCGACAGGGTGGTTACCTCCCCCGCACCCGTAGGCTCCATCCCCGCTGACACCTCCAAACAGACCTGGAATTTTCCCCATCTTGCCCCAGCCGAAGTTCTCAAACCAAATGTCATAAGACAGAATGAGGTCATCGTTGTTAGACCCCAGTTGGGTGGGAGTGATAAACCAGCCGAGACCTATGTTGTATAGAAGCAATTAAAAGTGAAGACCATTATCTCGCCTTCACGCGTCGGGCACATAGTGCTAAATTATTAACTCTTTGAGTTTCTTTGACTTCGAGGATCGAAACTACCGAATCGCATTATTTCATAAGGAATGTATCATTTTGACTAAACAGAGTAACTGTCCAAATATAGGACGCAGTTTTTTGTTAAAGCCCCACTCCGGCTGTCGCGTGGGACTTGCCTCCGAGCTTTTCTAATTGGAATGGTGGCACTTTGTGTTATCGGGTGTTTATCTCGCGTTGTGCGGTCCTGGTTGGGTTGAACTTCAAAAATTTTAAATAAAAAATGTTTAAGTCTGAAATAGATCAAATAACAACAACATGGGAAAGAAGGATATCAAGCAACAATCGAGGCAGAGTAAGTTATCGTAATTGCGGGACAGCTCAAAACACGCATGGTGTGTTGCTTGGGATGGATACGTTCTTTTATAATAATCGGTTCTTGGTGGGCAAAAATCACGCCGACTGCCTTTATTTCCCAGAACATTGCCTGGTACCCATGTCAGGCTGGTTCTTCCCCTAAAGGTGGTGAATGTATGCATGATACGCCAGATGCAGTCAAGACCCTTTGTGGGGAGGTGAACAGTGCGGAGGAACAGTGGGTCTATTCTTGTTTTCCCCTACAACGGGCGACCCGGAACCCACAACGGGATTCCTCCTCAATATGTGTTTTATAAACTGCATATTCAGAGAATGGGGAGTGGATGGTTACTACAGAATTTGCGATGTGCCTTATGCAGTGATGATAGTGCATTAGCCGCTTTGTCGTGCTGATACCACCGTCATCTGTGAATAGCAATTCTGCTGACAGACAGTAGGTGTTAGAACATGCGGCAGTTGTCATTTGAATGTGATGCGTATGCGAGCCGTTGAATTGTGGAAGGAATATTGTCTGATGGGCGTTTTTACTGGGACAGAAACAGAGCAATTATAGGGTGTCATGTTTACGATGAGGTCGGAACTCTGACTGTTGGCACGAGAAATAAAGTAACAGTATACGACTCTTTTTGAAGTAAAAGGTTTGAGTCTTATTTTATAGAAGTAAAGTTATATATATATAAACCTTTCTCCATTGCTTGTACTTGTGTTCCATATAATTAAAGTAAAAGTAAATGATGCTTCTCATCGACTAGCGCCTATACCGAATAGCGGTAAAGTAATTGAAAATGATGGTTCTCATCGACTAGCGCCTATACTGAATAGGGGTAAAGTAATAGAAAATGATGGTTCTCATCGACTAGCGCCTATACTGAATAGCGATAAAGTAATAGAAAATGCATACAGCCTACATTTTACTTTGTAAATACTGTGCTCCCGTAATGTGAATCTCAGACAATTGAATGAGGATTTGCTCATGTTGAATTTTGATACAGTGTATCTTTAAAGAATATCTTTTTCCCAGTTATGAGTTAGGATTTGGGTTATCTCCACGTCACTCCGGACACGTCCATAGGTGCTCAGATTCCCCCTTCACCACATACATCAGCGTCCCGCGGTTGATGATCCCAGTCCTATGTTGGTTGACAAGACTTCTCGTGCGTCCGGTGTGCTTCTCGTGCCTGGCAGTGCCGATCTTTACTCCCAATTCTAACTCTTTTAGCAAAGATGTGGATGTGCTGCTCCCAAAACCCTCCAAACGTCCTTCCTCTCAATGGCGTTAACAATGTCGGCATGATCCATGGGCCGGCCCTCTGTAACTAAAGCAGAGCCGGCTAATATCTCGGCTCTTTTATTGCCAACAACACCCGTATTACCTGGAACAAAGATGAAGGTCTCTTTCCCAGCAGGTTCCAGTGCATGGTTGGGAGGGGGAGTAACGGTGAACAGACCCGCTGTCTCATAACGTCGTAACAATCGATTCTTCTTCTTTTCGTTCGTGCGAGGGACGCAGTTGCATGATGCTTGTTTGCAGCAAAGTTGCGATAATTGCACCTTTCGGCCGACACATCCGACTTCATCGAGCTTGTGTTGAAGAGGTTACTTTCCCGGAAAGTCGATTAAAGAAGGATATCTTCTTCGAAATCCGAGTGGATATGCCTGAGAGGCAAGGAACGAACAGTTCTGCCTGTAAATAAGCCAAATGTACAAAATGGCTGCGCACGCAAAACTCGAATTCTGGAACAAGACCAAGAAGAGGAAGAACAGTCAAACTCTCCGCGGGAGTTTACAGCCGGTGAGCACCAAAATAGAAGAAAATTTATGAACACAAAATATAACTGAAAAACTTAACAAAACAAAAGACAAATGCAATTACAAACGAGCACTAACCTTTATTGCCACCTGAGCTTGTTGAGTATGAACCCTTTGCGTAATGGACGGTGATGGCACCTACTGAGGAGTGCCGGGTGGTGCTGCTCAGCGAATCCTGTCCCCACAGATTGTGGTAAGGCTCCAGAGGTTTCAGAATGGCAGTTTTGTCAGAGGTTACAGGGAATGAAGCTACATGCCAAATTTCGGTGGCTGAAATCAAATGAAGTCTTGTATTATTATTTGCTTTAGAAGATACTATTGCCGTACGGTATGGACTATAAAAAGAGGAGGCCCGGGAATACAGTCTACATTCCTTATTCATGTCATGAAGAAAAAAGAGAAAATTATCATGACAATTATGGCATCAACATCATGACGGCGAGAAACTTCGGACAAGAACAGTCTAGATAAAATATCTAGCAGCAAATACTTTACTATATATGCCTGATGGTCTGTCTATTAACACCAGATTCATCTGCCATCATTCTCACAGTAAAACAATGATCTTCTTGTATCCGTTCTCTGACTGTTGTAATGAGTTCATCATTACGAACATAAATTTTGTTTCCAGGTCTATGTGCATTACTAATAATCTCCACACCACTTTTGAATTGGTAATACCACCTAAAAATGTGTGCAGGAGATAAACAATTGTCCCCATAAGATTGTTCCATCAATTGAACTGTTTCAATGGCGCTTTTTCTGAGTTTTAAAAAGAATTTAATGTTAGCTTTTAGCTACGTGCCTGACATAACAATGTACCTATGACTAGGTCAACAAAATGGCGGCTTGTTTGTTGTCTGTTTATCGAGCACCGATGAAAGGTTGCCAGATCATAGATGAATGTTGCCTTTTTAGATTCCATGTTTTGCTTCATAGATGGCATTTTTCACTTGGCCATAATATAAATCAGATTCATTTCTTAATTGTTGGACCTTGTGTATCAGTCACCCATCGTGAAGACAACAAATACAATCACTACTACTCACTATCTTCTGCCTTTTCTAATCTATGTCAATTTGTGGGGACAGGGACTGAAAAATAAAAAGTTACAAAAGATTAACAAACAAAGGATCTGTGTACGCAAAAGAAAGAAACCAATCAAGAACTTGATCAAGACAAGATTCCTAAAATCAGAAACGAAACAAGTAAACCAATAGAAACATATTTAAAAATTATCTTGGACCATGTACTTTACTTTATGTGAGTCACGCGGCCACCACTGACCCTTTAACGTCCATTTAACAAGCCCCCCCCCCCCCCCCCCCCCCCCCCCCCCCCCCCCCCCCCCCCCCCACCCGTCAGCTCACAACCCTAACAAACTTCTGAACCTAAGAACCCTAACTTAAAAAGTCGTGTTTTTCTTTTGCCATCTATACAACATCCACCAGTCCGCGATCGTTGCGGACTGCATTCGCCCGGACGGTCTTTACTAGTTTACTATGTCCAGAGATTACTGGATCCAATCTGCCAATATAGACCACGTTGTAAACCCGCAGTCCGTTGTCTTGGCTGATAGCCAGGATCTTTTGCATCATCCAGGAGGGTCCTTGCAACTTTGCCATAGGGCCAACAAATTCAATAACTGTACACAGAATGTGTCATTTTTAAATTTTTTTTTTTATTTCTCATGTATTACTTGGATGGCTTCAAAGTTTTCTCATCCATCGACATCTCTGGGAGGGGACATTAAGTCACGTACACATGCTGTCTCAATTGGGTATTTATTTCAAAGATCCTCATCCAGCAATCGAGTACTCAAGCCGTTGTAACTCCCAAAAGTATGGAAATCAACGAGCCAATAAAGTAATCATAGAACACTAGCTATGTCATTTCCACAAAACTACAGATAGGTAGAAGATGTCGAGGTCTACCTCAACAAGGATATAAAAAAGTGAGTAAGCGGGAAATGGATGAAACCATACTTATGTGGATTCGCTGGAACAGGGCATCGCGGACGGCATTGGGTGAAGAGGGAAACCAGGAAGATCAAAAAGAAAATGACTGCTAAAAAGGTTAAGAGCCAGACGTCTAAAAGAAGCGCGTTAAATCCAGACCGGCTCCAGCTGACGAGTCATGCTGCTGACGTCACCAACCCAGGCTAAGGGATTGGTGACATAAGCAGCATTCTCGTCAGCTGGAGCCGGTCTTGGTTAAATACGTGCAACGGCAATAATGGTACTGAAATTCTATGTTATAATTGTATAAGAATGTTTTTAACGCGAAAGGCGTTTAACAATACACATAAATCTAGGTAATAATTCACCTCGTCTAACTCTGATACTTCTAATTTCTCTGGTGTTGACCACTTCAGTTCGGGGTAGCGGCTTTACGTGAATCTGGGCACTTGGTCGCTCTTCCGAGTACCTCCCACTGACACCGATACAGACCAATCCAGTTGGCGCTTGTTTTGTGCCGGTTATTTCTATGAACTGGCCGTCGTCACGAATGAAGGACACTTCCCCTCCTGTGGCCTGTAATCAACATTTGACAATGCATAAATTTAGTAGATTGTAACAGTTAATATAACAAAATGTTATTACATCGAATACTTTCTGGATTTACTCTGGGTACCTTTCAAAACCAAGCTAGTCGACAGCCAGTAACCAGGCCCTCGCACAGTTAAGTATTGATGGAGCGTATGCGACCTTGTTGATTTTACCTTTCACAGATACAGATCACCGAAATAATCCAGCAAGATTTCTCAAAGTTAGCAATATGCTTCTCTACCCTGATGTTTACTACGTGATGGGCTGAGCTCCAAGCTGGGATAACAATGGGATGTACGATCGCGCCGATACTCTTCTTTATGGCCTTGCAGGTCATGTTAGACGGGGCTGCCTCCCACGGACAACGCCTTCAGATTGGGGATCACTGGATACCGCCATTGCATGCGTTTATGTATGAAACAACTATCATAACGGGCAGTGAAAGAGAAATGAGCTCAGTTTGCTCCTAGCAGAACAGTTAGTCACTTAAGTTAAGGAAGTTCTAAGGTGTTTTCTGTTTACTTTGAAAGATAAAAGATTAATGGGGAAACGTTCATAAGCATCTGACACTTAAGATGAATTTTAATTACCAGTGACTGCATTTTCTTAGTGTGACAATTGGTATGAAAGGTACGAGAGTTGTAACAGAAGACAACAGAACAGACCAGAGAGCAGACAGGCAACACTTAGCTGGGGATATGCCCTAGTTGCCTAGAGGTCTCTGGCTCCCTAATAAACCAGAGATGGAGAAATAAAAGACCAGTCGAATTGATAGACAGCTAGTAGAACAGGACAAGAAGAATACCATGCCGAAGCCAGGAGATGTACAAAACTAGAGATTAGTTGTAAAATATAAGAAAGTTGCCAGACAGTTGGAGAAAGAATTGAGTAAACTACATACGTGAGTTGCCAGGCGTTCTACAGAACTGGAGACTAGAGAAGATCCAGTAGGATGGGGATCTGTCGATAGCAATCAGTGGACGAATCAAAGAGGCGAGCATCAGGAAATATTACAAAGAGTTTCCGGCTTGTATGCCAAGGATTCAAACGAGACATTAGATGGATAGCAGATAAAGATCGAGGATACGTCAACAAGATAACTACCGCCAGTGTAATCGATGATGAGTTTACAAGCAGAGGACGGTTCGTGATAGTTGTGTTCAGACACTGAGTAGCAAGTGACAGTTACATCTTCTAAATTAGAATGTTAGTGAAGATAGAATCAAGAACAACAAAACGTTGAACATTGATTTTGTTATCGAGAAGAAGTTCACAATTTCCTGCACCTGTAAGTTCTGTTGATTTTGAGGACGTATTGTTAATTAACCAGATGTTAGAAAGCAAGTGCACTTATATACCAAGTGTCACCATTATTAAGACATCCAAGCTTAAGTATGAGTGCAAAGAGACAGATTATTAATAGCATTTTCATTCCAACATTAAGCTACCAGTGCCAACACTATCTAAAGCCCATATACGCAAAATCACTACCTGCGAGATAAGGTGCCTGAGAAAAGCAGCCAACCTAGCCATACGAGATCGAGTGAATAATGACACTATCAGACAAATTGTGGGAACGACACCTTGTACTAGATTCATAGAGAAACAGCAGATCAAGTGGTTTGGCCATCTCGTTAGAATGCAGCAGGATCAAATACCATCACAAGCACTACATCTCAGAAGATCAACTACACGAGCAAGAAAATGGCCGCGGAAAAATGGATCGACAACATTAAAGACACTCTACGCCTTCACGGCATGGCAATAGCCAGTGGCAGCCAACGTGGACTGGATAGCAAATTATTCCTCCCCATGACGCTTAACGGCAAACGTGATTTATGATGATGATGATTGTTAATTAATAAATATGTAAACTTATAAACAGACTTGTGATCCGGTGTGATCAGGATCCCGAGTAGTTTCAGTTTATGTATGAATCAACTTCTGCCTCCTCACCATTGACCGACAGCTAAAACTCTGAAGACCCACCTGGTCGATTAGACCATGGTGGATCGGGGGATCATGGAAGACGCTCTGTCACACCAAGTAAAGAATAATAACAATGTATTCTAACATGTGTGTAGATATCGATACCCTTTAAGGGTCGGCGTGAGACTGGTTATCTGCTCTGGTAATATTAAAGTTATCTGCAGGATCCCACCAACTATGAACAATCCTAGAAAGGGATTGCTATGAGTTTCTTAAAAGTATGTGCCCTATTGGAAGGTGCAGAGGAGAAGTGCGAGAAGAAGAGGAGAAGGAAGAGAAGAACAAGAAGAGGAAGAGGTAGAAGAAAAAGAAGACAGTATAGCGGGGGCGTAATAGGAGGAGGGGGCGCAAAAAGACGAGGAGGAAGATTAGGGAAGAAAGAGGAGAGAAAGACTAGTAAGAAGAGGTAAACATTGAATGTGGAGACATTAACTATTGTAAGGTCACGTAGAATGTTGACGAATCACAAATTAATCTTCTCGAAACAATGTAAAGAGCATAAACACTGAAGTGTTTTTTTCAAGTAACTTGATGATAGTTTATTTTGCGTGGTTTATAAATTGGATTGTTTCTCTGTGTGCGCGCGCACGTTTGTGTCTATTTTTTTTTTTTTATTCTTTCTTCGTTTTCTCCCTTATTTTCTTCTTTTTTTTTTTTCACGGTACTATAATTATATAAATCGCCTTTATTATAATTAGGGCTGTACCGAATATTCGCTTCGTCTTCGCTTCGGGGCCGAATAGTGGACCTAATAACTATTCGGTATTCGGCCGAATAGTTGCGGTCGGGCCGAATACGAATAGTGGTTACCTTACACCCGTTCCTGGACTGGTAGAAATTTAACATATCAAGATTTCCCACCTTGGTTCATACTGTCCAGCGTTATCTCTGTGCACCACCTACGAGCGTACCAAGTGAACGTCTGTTTAGTACAGCTGGAAATACCTTCAGTGAGACAAGAAGCTGCCTTAATGCTGACAACATGGAACGATTTTGTGTGTGTGGAAAGCTAATGCCGCTTTCATGGATTAATTAAGCTGTCAGTGGCAATTTACAAGTTTAGTTACTTGTTATAAAACTAAGAATACTTTCACTCCTATGTATTAGTTACCACAGACTGACTGACTGAAGAATGCAAAACATAAAATGTATTTAAATGTTTACTATTCTGTACTACATTGTGTGAAGTAAAATGTCAGCGTACATTTGACATTATGGATGTTTTATTTTTAGATCTATTTTATACACGAAAGTGGAAGAATGGGCCTCAGTGGAATAGTGGGAAGACAGAAGTAATGGTGGTATCAAAGAAAATAATTACTCCTAAATGTGTAATAAAAGTCAGTAGTTTTATTTTGGGACAAGTACTGAAATTTAATTATCTGGGCACATGGATAACATCAGATGGAAGATGCATTACTGAAATAAGAAACAGAACAGGACAGGCAAAAACTGTATTTTATAAAATGAAGAACATCTTTGTCACTGAAGGTTAGAAAAAGAATTCTTGCTTGCTACATACATCCAGTGTTAACATGTGGCTGTATGTCCTTGACAATCGGTAGGCAGGCCAAACAATTTCTTGAAGCCTCAGAGATGGGGTATTACAGAACAATGCTTAAAATACCCTGGATAGTGAACGAACATCGAACCGAGGCGAGCGGTGCTTACTACAAGAAGGCTGGTAAACCAGCAATGAACTGGGTTGAGCAGTGCTCACTGCAAGAAGACTAGTGAACGAACATCGAACTAGGGCGAGCGGTGCTCACTACGAGAAGACTAGTGAACGAACATCGAACTGAGGCGAGCGGTGCTCACTACAAGAAGACTAGTGAACGAACATCGAACTGGGGCGAGCTGTGCTCACTACAAGAAGACTGGTGAACGACCATCGAACTGGGGCGTTCAGTGCTCACTGCAAGAAGACTGGTGTACAGGCAATGAACTGGGGCAAGCAGTGCTCACAACAAGACTTGTGAACAAGACTTGTGAACCGCCAATGAACTCAGACGAGCAGTGCTCACTACAAGAAGACTGGTGAACCTACATCGAACTGGGGCCGGCAGTGTTTACTACAAGAAGACTAGTGAACCAGCAATACACTGGAGTGAGCAGTGCTCAATACAAGAAGACTGGTAAACGAACATCCAACTGGTGCGAGCGGTGCTTACGTCAAGAAGACTGGTGAACCAACATCGACCTGGGGCGAGCGGTGCTTACTACAAGAAGGCTGGTAAACCAGCAATGGACTGGGTCGGGCAGTGCTCACTACAAAAAGACTAGTGAACGAACATCGAACTGGGGCGAACAGTGCTTACTACAAGAAGGCTGTTAAACCAGCAATGAACTGGGTCGGGCAGTGCTCACTACAGGAAGACTAGTGAACGAACATCGAACCGAGGCGAGCGGTGCTCAGAGATGTAGTATTACAGAACAATGCTCAAAATACCCTGGACAGCCACACAAAAAATAAAAGCAACCAAGAAGTTTTGATAGAGGCGGGAGCCCGAAGACAACTACTCACAGACATCAGAAGGAGACAGTCATCATTTCTCGGCCATGTTATAAGATGAAGGAAAATGAAACACGTGGTGACTACTGGAAAGATCTGTGGAAGGAGGGATAGAGGAAGAGAAGATTCTTGACAGTCTTGTTGCAGGGCATGTAGGTGTGTCAGCACACGAACTAATTCATGCTGCAGGAGATCGCAGATGGGCATAGTCACCCATACCAGTCGGCAAAGCACTTTATGATGATGATTCACTATTCGTAATCGGTCGAATAGTTGGTCCAGCTATTCGTATTCGGCCGAATAGTGAAAATCACTATTCGGTACAGCCCTAATTATAATCAACACTGACACTTTCATCATTCTATGATGTATTTTTTAAGGAATTTTGTACGCTTGCCTAAAGGCTGGACACAAAATATGTTTAAATATAAGTTACAACACGAAGGCAAACTTTACATAAATCAGTTCCAGCGGTTTGGTGAGGGTCACGGACGCCTGCCAACGGTCAGTATCTTCAGAAACAGCTGCACAATCATTGAAGTGGAACAGAGGTTTTCCCCTGCCTTCAGCGATGGCGCCAAAGCTGACAACACACAGAGCCGCTACGAGCCGCAGCATCGTAGTGGGTGCTTCTGTAAATAAACAGAGACCTTACAGAAAACACACTAACAATTCATTGATCTATAGCATTTTATAGACTATGAAAAAAGAATCACTTTATCTGTCGTTAGTTCTGGAATATAGAACGGTCCCTCCGCCATTTCTAATATTCTACTCGGTGTTCTCCCGATATTTTTCATCAACATCGGTTTCATCAACATCATCGTAATCATTATCAGTTTCATCATCATTTTTATCAGTTTCATCATCATCAACATCATTTTCATAAGTTTTATCATCATCATGTGCCCTGTCGCGAGGTCTAGGTTTCGTTGTTCGCCATCCCACACAATAATCAGAATCACGGATCAAGTCAGGCCTCTTGTCTTAACCCATCCACGTGGCCAAGCCATCCAGGTGTTTATCTGTTTCCTCTCCTTGCTGTCTCTCCATCAAGTTTGTCAATGTTATGTTTTTGAGCACATTCCTTATTATATGGGGGGGGGGGCATTATATTTTTCTACACAGAGGATAGAGACGGGGTGGATTCAAAGAAAATGGTTGGAGTCGCTGGGGAAATCTATGATAGAAATTGGTTTTTGTGTGCCAGGACACTCTGGGTTAAGAGTGAATGAACGAGCGGATTGGCTTGCTGACAGGTACAGGAAAAGTAATGGACCAGGCTATTCTCAATGTTCTCAATGAAGCAGGAGGAGAAGATGATCCAGGAGTCGATACTGAATCGGCAACACTCAAAAGAGTTTAAAAACTTCAGGTCAAAAGATGTCTCCAAACACGAACAACATTTTTCAGGTAGCCAAAGAAGAACATTAATGGGATCCGAGTGCTTATGGACTTGTTAGATGTGCTTTAGGATAGTGAAAAGAACTTCCAAATTAAATTACAGTTTCCTTAACTTTCCCGGCGTGTTTCCGATCATTGTTAGCAATGTTGGCTTTATTTTGATTCGCAGAAGTATTTAGTTCCATAAGCTACACATTTGTGCTTCTGTCACACTGTCGATATCTCATTTTGAGCCAGTACCACTAAATGGCGGTATATAGTTTATAAGTTTTTTAACGTGTTTTTTTTTTTCGTGTCTCTGATCCACAGAATAAAGATGATTTGAAGTCTGTGCTAGACTGTATAAGGCTCCTACTAATTTTAATTTCTCCGGACTTCCACAGTTTTGCAGCAATATGAAAGTCCTTCCTGCCCTTTGTGTTGTTATTTTTATATCTAAATTGATGCTATGAGATGTTATGAAAAGTACAGGTGGCGGAGTCATGCTGATATGGTCATGTATAAGTGCTAATTGATGTGTAAAACTATAACACCTTTTCTTCTTCTCCTCCTCCTCGTCATCATCATCATCATCATCGTCATCATCATCCTTCTTCTTCTTTTTCTTCTTTTTCTTTTTCTTCTTTTTCTTCTTCTTCTTCTTCTTCTTCTTCTTCTTCTCTTCTTCTTCTTCTTCTTCTTCTTCTTCTTCTTCTTCTTCCTCAGCCTCCTCTTAGTGTTCACCAGATATATACTCTGGTGCAAAGGCCGCATAGTTCTTTAACTCCTTTAGTTTGGTCTCGCTCCAGAACTAAAGTTTTACGTACTCATCTGTTAAACAGATCTGGCTTATTTGTATGCAGACTGTTTGTTTCTTGCCTGTCAGGCAGATGCACTCCGTCTTTAAAGGAAACGCCCCTAATTAGTCGCCTTTTATGACATGCTTTAAACGGCAGTGGGCCTATTATTTTCTCTAAAATAATGGGCATGGGAACCCATTCAGACAGCTATAATTATCAGACAGTCTCTCACACGCATGCGCCATGGCCTAAAACAAGTCCCTTCTTACTCTACTTCAAAAAAAGACATACTCACCTTCAAGAAGTAATGTATAACACCCGGTGTCACAGCTGCTACGCAATCCTAACCCAGTAGACGAGGCTGAATCACAGTAACTTATCTAGAGTGACTGCTAGCAACTTTTGATGGCCACTAGAAGTCTGTGACCGCTAAAAACCTGCTTGATTTGTCTAGGTCTCTCTTAGCTTATCGTGTAGAACCAGCAGATGGTCTCAATGTCTGTTGTATTTTTTTTCTTGCTTCGTTCATGTTTATGTACTTTAGATCTTCTTCTTCTTCTAGTATTTATTCTTTTACTTTTTCTTCTTCTTCTTCTTCTTCTTCTTCTTCTTCTTCATCTTCTTCTTCTCCTCCTCCTTCTTCTTCGTTTTCTTCTCCTCCTCCTCCTCTTACTCCTCCTCCTGCTTCTTCTTGTTCTCCTCCTTTCCCTCCTCCTAATTCCCATACCTTCATTTAACAAAGAAGGGCGACTCACTTTCTAGCCTTTCGTTCATTTGCTGTCTGATAGAGCGCCACCTTTATCCCCCAATAATATTAATCCCAACCCCATTTTTTTTTCATGCTTTCTGAGTCCCTCCTATATTTCTTTTGCATTGTAGATTCCATATGAAGGGCTTTCTAACTATACTATTAACAAGTTATTTTAGTGTGAGTA